CCCCCCCCCCCCCCCCCCCCCCCCCCCAGCTTCGTTCCTGGGGTCCCCAAACCAGGGACACCCCGGGGGCACCCCACCAGCTCCCAGCCCTGCAATGCAACCCCCTGCAATGGGGAGGGCTGGCACCCCCCCGCCCAGCCCCTCACGGTCCCGCCTTGAAACCCCCCACCCATGTCACCCTCTCGCCACGCTCCTGCATCCCACCTTTCCCGCTGCCCATCCCCATGGGCACCCACGCAGGAGCCGTGCGGGGAATGCTCCTGCTGCCCAAGCACCGGGGAAAGGGGATTTTTTTTTTTTTCCTGGGCATCATTGGGAAATCTCTCCCATCCAGCCTGCCCGGAACAGGGATTCAGGTTTTCCTGCTGGAGCATCCTGCCCTGCAGAGGGGAACCCCCCCCATTTCTATCCCCCCTAGAAAATCCATTATAAATGAAACCCCAAACCCCTGCCCAGCTCCGGGACACCAGCCTGGCCCCGGGCTGAGTCGCTGCTGGGAAATTCAGGGAAAGGGCAGAAAACCCACAGCAATCCCTGCACGCAACCCTCCCACAAGGATGTTCCCTAGTGCTATTAATTAAGAAGCACCAATTCCTCAGCTAATTAAGTGCCATCAGGCCATCAGATAGCCACCGATATGTGATGCGCTGCTCACTGCACCCCAATAAAACCAGGTGTGGAGCTGCAGGGGGTGAGATGGGGCTCGTTCTCCCCAGCTTTGGCCACCTCCTCCCTCCCCAGACCCAACCCCACTCGCTGCCTGGTGTCCCAGTAAGGCCAGACTGGGCTGAACTGGGTTTTGGCTGCCAGGGCATCACTGCCAGTGGCTGCACTCAGGAACCAGGCTGGTCCCCAGGGTGACCCATGGGGAAACTGAGGCAGGCGGTGGCTACATGACCAATCCCCCCCCAGTATGGGGGGGGTCCTCGTGTCTGCCCTCGACGTGCCACCCCCTGCCACGGGGGACAGCTGGGGTCGTGCCAGCTCTTGCATCACCGTTCCTCGACTGTCACCCCACCGGGTTCACGCTGCCAGAGCACCAGGGCACAAACTTGCTAAACCTGCTTAAAAGTTTCAGCTCAGCCGTGCCCCCAGAGAGGAAAAAAATATATACAAGAAAAACAAAAATCTCTTTAACCTGTTTTTCACCCAAATCGGGGAGCAAAGAGCCCCGCAGCATCCCAGTTCCATGGGCCCCCCCACGAGGGGTTGATCCCACACCGATTTTAGCACCTTGCCAACCAGCCCAGCACCCTTCTGCCCGCACCCTGCCTGTGCCGGGCAGGGGGACAGCCCCGACGATGGAAGGGTTAACCCTGGGGGGCAGGTCCAGCCTCTTCCCGCTGGGTGGGTTTGTCCTTTTTCCCAGAGAAAACCCACCCTTTACTTTTAATATTTTTGCTCAAAGGGATGAGCCGCTGGCGGGGCTGGGGGACGCTGATGGGCCTCCATCCCACCATGCCCAGTGGCACCCCGCCACTGCCTCCCCGTGACTTTTATTCTCCCAACCCCCCCGCCCCCAAC